TTATATTTCCTTGTACTCAGGAGACTAATGAAGTATTTTAGATTTTTATCTTGTCCACAAGCTACTTTGAGATGATGAAATGGGAGGGAAGCATGGGTAATACTGAGCCCTTGAAGAAGCATGTGACAGCCTTTCATATGTATTGAAGCATTTCCAAATTACCACTCACCTGTAATTTAGACTAACCCCACATACTAGTTCCTCCACATATCCCTGACAGGAAACTGTCCCTGGGTTCCATCTACTCTGCTCCTTTTGTGAGTTCAGCAGAGCTGTGGCTTTAAGTAGCATCTCGATGCGGAGGGCTCCCAAATACATGCATCTCCAGCCCAGGCCTCAAGATGAGCACCACACTGGGCACTGGACAGCTCCTCTTTAATGGCAACATACCCAAAACTGAGTTCCTGAGCGCCCCCACCAAACCTCATACTGCTTTGCGCCCATCCTGACCTAGTAACACAATTTTGTTAGCAGCTCAAGCCAAAAACTATGCAGCAGTTGTTTACTTTTCTTCCTTACTCTCCATATTCAATCTAATAGCAAATCCTGTCAGCTCTGTCTTTAAGATATCTATAATCTGGCTTCTTTTCCTTTCCATTTGTCCTTCCCTCCCCATTTTTCCCTTCTCTCCCAACACAGACATGTCAATTTTAGAGGAAGCAGAGCAATGGAGGTGTGAAGTTTTGTGTCATTATCTGTGGCAATGTGCCTGGTATCCAAGGAAATGAGATGGTGCAGGAGAGGAGGCAGCAAGTGGAGGTGGCAGCGAGCCCCAGCTCCAAGGAAAGGGGGTGCGGCAGAGAGAAGAGTGGCAGATGGAAGAGGCAGCCTGCATGGTTACAAGAGTGACTACACGAACACATGTCTGAACCCAGGTTTCTCACTAAGGAAGTATTCATAAAAATGGAAAGGACACAGACTTAAAGAATCTAAAATGTTGGACTTTAACTGAGAGTATTAGTATGAACTCATTTTCTTAAAATATACATACAAAGAGTTATAGATGTTTGTGTACATGTATATATATATACATGCACGCATTTCCTAGTTCTAGCTGCTAAAAGGCCGTGGAAGCAATGACATCCCAGTAGTGATGAAAATACTATGTGTTCAGATCTTAGATACTACCATCCTGCACAAGAGATAAAAGTCCATTCTTCTGCTAGAAGAATGGGCTCGTTCCAGGGCTGAAGCAGGGTAAATGCAAAGTAAGCCTGGAAAGAAGCAGATTCTCAGAGAGTAATGGGACCATGTCAAAAGAACCAAAATGCTGAAGTGAATGGACTCCCAGAGGTCAAATGTTGGGAAAATTTGAACATTGAAATAAACTGAGATTATCCCATGACAACCCACTGAAACAAGGATGAGTCAATGGGTTCAAAATAAGACAAATACATTCATCAAGAAAACTCTTACAGGCAATAGCAGTTCATAAATATAAATGGAGTGACAGAGATAATCACTGGCATGCGAGTGGTCATTGATAGAAGCTGGAATTATCCAGGGAGCCTAGGGCTAGTGTAGAGGCTTAATAAGGAATAGGTTTATTGGTGTCATGGCAACCGAATTCAAAAGAAGGAAGAGTAACTTTACATCACAGTAACACGGTAGATACCATGGGGCATCACCCTCGACAGGTGAACACAGCGTGCCCCCCAAATGTGATGCCCCTCAGCATGCCCCATGGAACTGCAGCCTGCATCTGGTCCCGAGCAAACAGTGGGAGGCCAGGTTCTGGAGGAGCAACGGCATCGAAGAGCACTCTTTAAATGGCCAAGCACATGAGAGAATGGAAAAGAACTAAGGAACTGTTCCAGGCCAAAGGACACGAAAGGTACATGAGAGTAAAGTACTGTCTGTTTGTAGGTAGGATCCTGGAAAAGAAAAGAACAAGTCATTATGAAGACAGGATGCAAATGTGAATGTCTGTGAAGTAGATAGTAATGTTGCATCAATATGTATGACCTAACTGGAATGTCAGTGTGCTAGTAATATAGGAGAGTACCCTTGTTTGAGGATAGCGGTACACGCTGAAGTATTAAAACAATACTTGGTCAACACCTATCATATTCTCTTTCAAGAAAGGGAAATGGGCAAATGCAGTGTAATTCAACAATGAGGGGATTTGTGTGGGGTAGCAGATAATTTGTTGTACTGTTCTTACAACTTCTCTGTAGGTTTGACATATTTCAAAAATATGTCAAAAAATTTAAATCAACTAACTGCTAGGCTGCTGAGCTATGTACTCCTTTCCTTTTCCAGCCCAAGGCCTCACTAGATCTTTGGTCAGACCAAGCAGCATCCTAGCTTGATCCCCCACTCTTTGTATTTATTGGAGTCGGAGGCGGTGGAGCAGCTTTGCATGTCGTGGTTATGACACTGTGCAATCTAGGTTCAGTCGGACAGAAAGAGTGACCCAGAACCCTGGAACAAACTGTTTCCGAATGATGTATACAAGTTCTACTCAGTCAAGGTAGATGACAGCAACTGCAGAAAGAAGTTCAGACTTCTAAATAAAATACTTCACTATAAAAAAAAATGCCTAAAATGAAGATCTTCCAGAAGCCATCTGCACAATTTCCATTTAACCATGGAATTCTTTCCCTACAAACACATGAAATCATGTTGGTATAGGGGCTGGGGTTAACACTGATTAATAATTATCTGAAACTTAGGGGGAAATAAATGAAAAAAGTGTGTGTGTGTGTGTGTGTGTGTGTGTGTGTCCATAAAGCAACTACTGCCATTCCCCACTATCACCATTATTACTCCTGTGGACAGGTCCAGAGACTCCCGTCTCACTGTTCTTCCCCTTCCTTTGCCCTTTTCCATCAGAACAGCCAAATCTATAAAAAGTAAAGAGAAGCACAAGTAGGCATAGCAAGAGGGTAAGAAAGAACCCCAAGGTACTACTGGCTTTGAACTGTAGATGTGAGTATG